ATACATTTAATTGATATATCTATATATATAGAACAAATTTGATAGGCTTCGCCTGGCAACTATTGAATTTGTTGCTTGTTTTCCATCTTTGCCAAGGCAACGGCTACATTTGCATCCGATACGGTGTCATGGCAGCCGTTAAGCTTAGCCTGCAGCTAACTATTTGCAAAGAGCTTTTTTCTGACGAAAAGTAAAGCGCTGAAGGTTTACATTTATAAATAAATTCCTAATAAATCAAGTGCAATTATTTAAAAGCTTATAGTAACTATTTATTTCAAACCATTCAAACTTTCTAATACACTTACAAACGCCAGATATAAATATCTCTATCCAACAATATTCCAGCTTTTTTCTTAATTCAAGCACAGAATTTTTTATTTTTTTGGAATCATACGTATATATAATATATTTGAAAAGGCAAAGAATGCCCGCGCTAGAGTCACATTTTTCGGATTCAAGTGAATACTTTGATAAGTTGTAAAGTCTTGTAATATGTATTGACCCATCTCTGAACAGTAACGAATTAATTGCAAGTTTTACCATTGTATGAAAATTATGATTATGATGATCAAACAACATAGTATTTTTCTTTTATTTAAAAAAACGAACATGGATCCGTCGAATGCGGGCAACCTTGTAGGGTTGCCAGATGGTGCTATCAAATATCCGCAGCCCTGTATTTAAACTTGCAGTAATTACGAAATTGACATATATAATTTAGGTATAATTTATTGGTATTTCACCAGACCGCAGACTTCGATAATATTTGATTAGCGGTGTTAGATACGAGTATATAAACTTTCGTCTTCCATTTTTAATTTGTTAGACCTCAGTGGGCCACATTGAAAAATGCAATAGTCCATGCAAATAGTGTATAAAATCTCTATATTCTTTATTTTGTAATTCGTATATTGTTTGGGGTATATAAATTTGAATTAGCTAAGCTTTTCGTAAATGTTCGTAGCAGTTTGAGTTTCTTATTTAATTTGAAGCAGAATCAGTTGAGTAAAGCTTTTCAAAGCTTTCACGAACAGCTTTCCGCTAGCTTATATGAATGGAATGTGGAATTTCGAAAATGCGCTGCTGCAGTGCGTTGCGGCTGCCGCGTTGCCCCATTTACTTCCCGTCGTTGACAAGGAAAGGGATACGCGTCGGAGGAGCTTTTGCCGGCATTTTGCCACAGTTGGTGGCATTTGCAACGGATTGTTGCGCCTGCTGCCAGCTCGATTCAGAAAAGCACAAGCACTGCCGACAGCCGCCTGACCTTCAAATTCGGTTGTTGTCGCCACGCTGCGGCGCATAAGCTTTTTAATTTTCGATATCGAAAGTGAATACCGATGCTGTCGCTGTCGCTGCTGCTGCTGCTGCTGTTGCTGCTGCCACTGCCGCTGTCGCAGTCGCTATGCTGCCTATGAAGATAAAAAAGTCGCAATAGGCACAGAGCATGGCAGTGGCAAAAGCTCAAGGTGAAAGCATCATCAGCTGCTGTTACTAGCGACAGCGACTGTGGCAGCGACTGTGGCAGCGACAGTGGCAGCGACAGTGACACCGACAGCGACAGCGCCAGCGACTGCGACTGCATTCGGACACTGATTCGGATGCCAATTTACGTTTCGGATTCGCTCAGCGTACGCGTCGTGCGTTTGCCGAACCTGCAGCGGCGGCAGCGGCATTGCTCAGGCGGGTCTCCAGCACGGCCGCTGCGTCCGTGGCCAAATAGTCGTTGGGTATACGCCGCGATGTTAAGAGCCGCGAACGCGAACGCAACGTTTCGCAGCAGCACGCAGCAGCACGTAGCAGCAGCAGCAGCAGCAACACCAGCAGCCGCCACACGCCAAACGCAGCACGCAGCAGTTAACTGTTGTTGAGCCTCTACAGCCGCAGAGGCTGTCGCAGAGCCGTCGAGCCGTTCAGCCGTTCAGCGTTTGCCTTGTGTTAGTAGCCGCCATCGTCGTCGCAGCAGCCAACGCGAACGCTGCCGTTGCCGTTGCCGTCGCTGTCGCCGTCGCCGTTGTTGTCGCCGCCGTCGTCGTCGTCGTCGTCGTCGTCGCCGTCGTTGTGGCTGTCGATTGCAATGCATGGGAAAGAGGAAGAACGCTAATTTGCATAGCGCCTAACGGTTCTCAAGAAACTAACCTGCAAGAAATCTTTATTTTTTTACTGTTGTATTTTTTTTCTGGTGCAAATTCATGACCTTAGAACTCCTCGACGTGTCTCGCGGCCTTTGAAGAATTATTTTCAAAATCTCGCTACACATTAAAACACTTTGTTGTTGTTGTTTTTTTTTTTTTTTATTATATTTTATTTTGGGGTAATACAGTTTTTTTTTTTTTCATGGTGGTTTTTGGTTTTGCTTGTTGATGCGCTGCGCTGCTGTCTTATTTGAGGTAGGTGCCCCCATACGCCACCTACTTGATTCATGCTTTTGGCGGCCGCCTAGTATAATATTTATTTGAATGATCGGGAAAAAAGAGAAACAACAAAACGTCTTTAATTAGTATTTAAAGAGCCATAAAACTGTTGTGACGTAAATCGAGAGACAGCGTCCAACAAATTTGCAGCTATCTTCCAGATACATTTACTTATAGATACATACGCCTCTCGACGTGTTGCCTCGTTAAAAATCATTTTCATATTCATAACACTGCAGGAGACCCAGACTCTATATAATCGTAGGCACAATTATCTACTCAATGTATGCGTGTGTGTGTTTTTTTTTTACTTTTATGACTTTCACATGTGAATTCTTGTTGCTGGTTTCTTGAAATGCTTCATCAAATGTTATTTTAATGTGAATTTGGTTTTCGGTTTCGGTTACGCTCAGGTCCACAGTCTATTTGGTTCTATCTAGTATTTTGCGCACTGCCAAACGTCCTTGAAATTTCCCTACATACATGTGCGTCTGTGTGTGTGTGTGTGTGTGTGTGACAAGCATCTGTCAAGCTCGCCATTTTGTTACAGAGTGATGCCATGAGGGAAAAGTCCAGCCTCTATTTGGAAAGTTTCCTTTACTTGTTACATACCCTATATGTTCATTACATATGGAGAGGTATACTGGTTGGATGTGAATATGTCTGTCTGTATAATCTAATATACAAGTCGACTGAGGCAAAACGAAGTTTTTATCGTTGTTCACATAGAGGGTAACATTTAGTTAATCAAACAATTCCCGATCAAGCCACAAAAATGTGCAATGTGTGTAAACATGTCTGTAGTAAACATAGAGTCAAAGAAGAAGAGATAGCAAACATGCTCTGTTCCTAGCGGTATAGCAGTGAACTATGCACAACCAAATCTTGAAACTCTGTAATTTAAACTAGAGCCATCAAATGCTTAGGGTGTTGAAACCGTTTCATCGATAGCTCTGATCCGAAATATTTATTGGTAAACTCGTTTAAAGGTGAAAAAAGAAAATTTTGTCAATCTTTTAAGTGAATTCTTGGTAAACTTAAAGAGATGAAGCCGAAGAGCGCTTGCAGGCGACAAAAGTCAATCTGAAGTCAAAGCATCGGACGTCACGACGCGAATTCAGTTAAATTGCGATATGAAATTCTCGCCGAGTTTGCATATTCGGCTCTAAGCATTGAGTGGGAGAATAGGTGGTGTGGGAGAACTTTGGAAAGAAGGCTAGAGTGGAGGGGGCAGGGAAGTAAGAGGCTTGGTATTGCTCGAATATGCTGACAGCGTGAAGTCCGCCGGGCAAATTCTACTTACTTATATCAATATGCATGACAAGTTTAAAAGCCTTGTGAAAAACATTAAGTAAAAGGAAGATGGCAGCAGCCAAAATAGCGACAGAGACATAGAGAGAGACAGAGATAGAGATAGAGATGGGGATGGGGATAGGGATGGGCAAAGAGAAGAGCTGCTGATGTAATACAAGGTGAAAGGGAAGTGAGAAGTGAGGCAAGGGCAAGTGGCAACTGGCAGTAAATAGAGAAAGTCAGTTTGCTAACTAAATGCAAAGTACACGCAACTAGAGTGGAAATAAAATGCGAATTGTAAAGCCAAAGTTCTAGCCTAGGATGTGACTGAAAGGATGCTAAAAAGGATGTGACGCTGTGATTCCAAAACGTACAAAAAGTATAAATGTGCCATGCTATATATGGGAGTGAGCCACTTGAAACAAGAAACAATTAAGGTGGGAATGAAAATGAAAAACTGGAAGAGAAACTGGAGAGGATTCCCTATAGGTCTTATGGAAAAAGAAGGAAAATAGAAATAGGGATAGAGATAGAGATAGAGATAGAGATAGAGATAGAGATAGAGATAGAGATAGAGATAGAGATAGAGATAGAGATAGAGATAGAGATAGAGATAGA